TTAATCATATCCCATTTCAAACAGTTCAGTTTAACGGCGAACACTCATATCTATGCTATAAAATCATACAACGTTCGATGAACAACCTCTTGTGGAAATTGACAATTCGCTTCGACATTCAGTTGAGAACTCTTCGATACATCCTTCTTCCTGTAACGTCTTCGACGACGATGTTTTCCCGCTTTAGTTATCTGACTTGCACCACTTTCTAGATGTTGTACATCTTCCAGATTTGATGTCAATTGATCAATTTGAGCATTCCGATCTTCTTTAGTTTGAGAGTGGTCGTTTGCGGTGACATCCTCATAATTACCCATTCCTTCCACAGTTTCAGACTGCTGAAATGTAAAGGCTCAGTTATCGCGGTGTTATGAATTATTTGTTATTTTTATCATTTCAATCGATATAATTATCGATAGTTCAAATACAACCATTATTCTCACTATTCTATTATGTCAACACGGTAAATGAGTTGAAATAAGGCACTGAGAGAAATATTAAAAATGTGAATATTTTCACTTAATATGACCGCTGATTCCAGGAGGGAAGTCGAAACGCGAACGGTCGAACGAGATTCGTGAAACTAACCGGTTGCGATGTTTCTAGTTGAATCGGCAATGAACTGGTACGTCTTCGACGACGATGTTTCATCGCTTTAGTTCCCTGACTTGCATCACTTTCTGGATGTTGTATATTTTCCAGATTTAATGTCAATTGATCAATTTTAGCATTCCGATCTTCTTTAGTTTGAGAGTGGTCGTGTGCAGTGATATCCTCATATTTACCCATTCCTTCTACAGTTTTAGACTGCTGAAATGTAAGGATCCAGTTATCGTGGTATTATGAATCATTAATTATAACTTCCTATGACACTGCTGCTGATTCTTACAGTATTTAATTTCACCACCATCACCATTCTAATTGCACTGGACTGAACACATTACTGTATCGCATAATCATTTCCACACAAAACCAAACAGCAAACAACTGATTATTTTCACTAAAAACAGCGACTGACTCGAGCAGTTAAGTCGAAACGTGAGTAATCGAATGAGATTCGGAAAACCAACCGATTGCGATGCTTGCAGTTGAATCGACAACGAACTTGCACCACGATCCGATGAACTGCCCCTAGCGCGATCCATTTTCAAAAACAAACGATTCAGTTGAAAACTTATTCACTTTGCAGATCTTCCGATAATTTTGTAATTCCGGTTGTTAAAATCGAAATGACATTTCGTTCGTACGCATTCGCACTAATTATGACGCAATACAGCACGTATCCTGAAAAATGTCGATGTGGTGTGTGCAAAAGTGCTGACAAAAAATCATTCAACCGGAAAAGCATTGATGAAATTTCACCTAACTGGAGAACTATCGAAGTGAACATGGTCAACGTGGAAAGTGTAGACAAACTATCAACTGCGATCGTACGTGAGTTCGAGCTAAAACATTGACATTTGGATGGATAAACCTCCCATCGAACTGGGGCTGTTTTTGAGGTGAAGCTAAAGTGCTGACGATTCAAATCAAATATATGATTCGTCAGTAAAAATCTGTTTACACAAAAATTTATTCTGGACACATAAATTTGTATACAACTAGCAATGCGTTATCAATTGAGCAATGTGTTATCAATACCGCTTTGACAACTGAGACGGAAATAGCATCAAGAGTACCTCTAAACAACAACGTTAAACACAGAAACGTGAACAAAACATAAATAATTCATACAGTTTTTCATCAACAACATCTGCTCAAATTTTAAAATGCCTCAATAAGCACACCAACTGGATTAGCTTTGTTACCGCTTCCGTTGATAAAAAGAAATAAGCGAAATTCGTTGGCCACGAATATTGCCAACGGCTAAAAGATCACAACAAGCTTTTTTGAAGACTACTTGAAGGGTAAGCTGACAATTCGCCAAGTACGCACCGAGCGATAGATCGCCAAGTGACAGAACTCATTTTACTTGATAGGTATTAAAAATGTGAATTTGTTACCATTTAACGAGAGTAAATGCGGGCGATTCATATGGATATCAATGAATGCGGGTAATGCGGTATCAATTTGTAGTGCAGATCCCATAGCATAAAATATGATATACAGAAGGGACGGCAGTAAAGATATTTCCGAGATTTTCTATTTGACTTGAAGTACAAAACCTCAAGAAATAATTGGAAGTGTTACCCACTTGACCGAAAAATTCATAATCGAGACATACACCATCTTGCAACCGAAATCGGGTACCCCAAAAGTCAGTAACAAACTTTGGTGGCAACCCAACCCGTATAGCTCGAAGATGGCGACCCATATAGAATTGGGAAAACAGCTGTATCTCCTCATCTAATCATAATTTCTCGGCAAAATATATAATATTCTTAAAGCAGAGATTCTGAGCAATCGAATGCTGCAAAGAAATTCACATGTTATCGGGCA